TCGCCGTATCCCAGAGCCGGATGGTCTTATCCCATGAAGCCGACGCTAGCGTGTTGCCGTCCGGCGAGAACGCCACTGCCATGACCCAGCCGCCATGCCCCTCGAGCGTCTGCCGGTGCGCGCCCCAGCGGTCTCTAATGCCAGCGGTCATTTCGATAAAAGACAGCCTTTCCTTCCAATACCGATTTCTGATCTCGCTCAAGGTTGGGCTGAATACGAGCGCGGAGCCATATATCTGTAAGGGGGCCCGCTCTATGATCGATCTGTTACTGAACACAAACTTCTCTGCGTCTTTCAACAGCTCAAGAACGCGGGGGTTGGTTTCCGGTTTCGACTGAAACAATTTAGTATCCTGACAATAATACAGCACGATCAACATACCTGAGCGGCATTCAGAATTTTTCTTATCGAGAGCAGCCCACTAGAAAGTTGCCCTATGAGAGACAAACTCTCAAGCCAGCGAAGGAAGTATTCCTTCAGGAATCCAAACACCTTCCCGTCGTCCGTCAATTCTCCCAGGAACCTGGAGTTGTCGCTGTTCAGGGAGCAGAGATGGTCGGGCCAGAAGACACAAGAGTATCGTATTGGAGCCAGCGGATCTGGATCGGGAGGCGCCATATCCTTCGGTGAGAAGCCAAGTTCGAGGCTGTACATGTTGCGTCTTAGCGTTGAGGACATCGCATCTATCGAGCGTCTGACAATCTCGCATTGCCCTTGAGCGGGCCCAGCTGACTGAAGTCGAAACTTGTAATTCTTCTCCAGGTAATTTTTTGCCGACTGGTGGATCAAGTTGACTGTTCCCTTAGCGATCGTGAGAAAAGAGCCGCACATCTCGATAGCCGTCTCTGTGATGTCCAATGGCAGACCGACAAGTACGGAAAGCTCTGAGATAGACAGCGGGCGGAAGACAAGAGAGGTGACCACCAAGACTGTCTTACAGTCCTGGGGTTTAATCACTTGCCCCTTCTCAATCCTGGTCATCATATGATCGTACAACTCCGACAGCCCAGGAGGCATCTCTCTGATACGCTCGACAGCGTACCCTCCATGCACTGTCCCGAGGACTTTGAACGCGAGGGCAACCCACAGAAAGGTGTTCTCTGCTCGTTTGCGGACTTCGTGTGACACCTCGGCTAAAACACTGTCGTTGTATCCTATTCTGCGCTTGAGGATCGTGATTTTGTGGTCGATATATGCATTGACAGGTGCTACCAGACGTTGCGTATGCAGCTCGACAAGGGAGTTAGAAGCGTCCAGGGAGTTAGTGCTTCGGTCCTTGAGCGCAGCGAGAAGGTCAACTTCTGGGCGGCTAGAAATCAGCCATTTCACATTCTGAGAGAGTGTGAGAGAAGTCGAAATGAGATGGATGAGGTCCGACCGCCCCTGCGCACACTCATCAAGTGCATCGACGGCGAGGTACACAGGCGACAATTGAGGATCCTTCAACATATGTCGAAACGCCTCAGACAGGGCGATGAAGGCATTTTTGTCCCTGAAGAGATCGGCGCCCGACTCTTTGTACTTCTGCAGTAGATGGGATAGGAGCCGTGGCTGCTGAAGAAGGAGAAGCCAGATCAAAGACCGGAGGACGGCGGTGGCGTTGTCCAGGGCTGCATCTGTGCCTTGGCAGAAGAAGAAAGAAAGCGCGGGTGATAGGGCAACAGGCTGATGCGAGAGTTGGCGAATGAGGCCGATCATGAGCATCGTCTTTCCCGTGCCAGCGTGTCCTTTTATCCAGAGCAATCGACGTGGCGGATGATCAGATCCGCTATCGTCCCAGTTTGTGAACGCTGCATACTCCGGGGTGCGAAGGATCCACCTGTACGCGTCATCGAGCAGGTCATCCTTACTGTTCTCGATACGTTCCATGTCGTGTTGCGGATCAACGACGCGGAGATCCCTGCGGCAGGCTGACTCAATATCATCCCGGCGGGCATCCTTCTGTAGTGAGATGAAGCTCTGAAGCGTCTGATGGACGTCGCCGAGCCGTGCCTCCATCCCCTCAGCGCGACTGACGAGCTCCCCTAGGAAAGTCCTCGTCTGTTCTTGGAAGAATTGGGCGATGTCGTTTTGGACGATGGCTTCTGCGTCCGTAACGCCTTTCAGGTCGCCGTCCCAATCCTCCAAATTCAGCATACCGCGAAGAAAGACGAGACCTTGGTTGCGATAGTAAGAACAAACACTCTTCATCTGGTACATGAGAAGAGCCTTGTAGAGCTCGACGACTGCCCCCTCCAGCTGGTGTAAGACTGCCTGCAGGTCGCCGCCGCCGGCGATGTTGTGCTTGTTCAGGAGATGTTCGGTGAGGGCGCAGTACCAGTCCATTCTGGAGATGACATGGGCGATACCAGCAAGGTTCGATTTCGTCGCTTGCGCAGGATTCCGGAGAATCTGGAGGTATGTTAGCAGAGCCAAGCACGAAGGGTGTTCGAAGGATGACTGCCTACTTGCAGCCCAACGCAAACACCAGCCCACGGAAGCGCGGCCTGCGGCACGCTTTGGGCAGCTAGATCAATTATTCCCTTGACCGATAGGACGAAATCGGCGACGCCGCCTACTCCGTTCGTTATCTTGGACGCTCTGGAAATTTTCGCCCGGCCTTCCTCCACCAGCCTCCTCATATGCATCTGTCGTTTGGTGGGGTTATGGAGCTCGGCCAAGACGTTAGGGTCAGAAGCAACGCCTGGGTTGGCTCCGAGAACTGTTTCCAACGTTTTCGCGTATGACATGACAAGCTCTGCATTGTCCGCCTCAAGGCTGTCGTACGCGGCGTTCCACAGTCTCTCGGACACGGAAAGGACAGGGGTCGGTGGCTCTGTGAATTCGGTCGGCAGTGGTTTAGGTGCGGGTTCAGCGGGCAGAGCAGGAGGCAGTGCTTGCGATGCTGCTGGTGGTTGGTGATCGTTGGGGACTCTCGCACCTGTGCGGGATTGGGGGGGGTTCGCCGCGGCGGCAGACGGGGAGGCAGGAGCATATGACTTTGTCGCGATAATGAAAGACGCTTTCGATCCGTGTTCTGCATTTCCCTGATCGGATGACCGGACGTCTGCTGGAGAGTGTGAGTTACGAGAAGCCTGCGATGCTAGGCAGAGTCTCAACATACTTGTCGACGGCGTGGCAGACGGAGCCTGCGAGGCCGCACGACGCCGCCCCAAGAGCTCCTTCCACCACTTCTTTTGCGACTTCGGCTTGTATTCAGCAGACATAGCTCCAACGAGGATTCTTGTCGAGAAGTAGAGATGCTACTACAACAGTAAAATGTAAAGTCGACAAGCTGCATTTCGGGCGGTTATTGCGGGGCGGAGCTGAAAGATGCAGTGAGGCTGGCCTGTTTGGCTGTCGGCCGTCCAAAAAAAGCTGTGGCGGTGCTATTGACGAATGGCAGCAAAAGTAGTCCGTACTTCCTCTTCATTTACGAGACGAACGACGCAAAGTCGTTCAACAGGACCCGTAAGTCCAACGCACCATAGAATATCGGGAGCATCAGCGACATAGTCTTCTGACCCTGATTCTCTGCAGCAAGGCCCGCGAGTGGAGCGAGCGTGTCTTTTCCACTCTGCTCTCCGCTTTGAAGAGTGCGGGTCGGAACGCGGCGCGTCCCGTCCCGTACCTGTTCAGGTCGCAGCCTCTGACCCCTGGCCCCAGGGCTTGGAGGTCGTCACGGAGGGCATCGATCCTTCATAGATATTTGGAGGTTTGTTCGGTCGGTAATGCAGGAAGTCGTTCCCGAAAAAGATCAGATGTGGGCGTTTTCAATCATGTCAGCAGGTCATTTCGACGAAGACCTGGATGGATCGATGCGCCGAGTCCCATAGTGGGGCTCCTGCGCCGCTAGGCCGCCGCTAAGCACGCGGAACGCCAAGAAGTCGGAATGAGAGATTTTTAGTCTCCAAAAACAACAGATAACACTCAGGATTCGCTATTCACCGAACCAACTACTAATCCAGCCCCTAGTAGCTTAACTTCGAGGTCAGCTTTCACCCGCGCGACGTTCAGGACGGACAGGCAGTCTCACCGGTTTTCTCTCTGCCTGCTTGCTCCACTCGGCAACTGATGATTCAATTACAGTGGCTGTGCCGCAGAAATATAAATCCACTAGCCATTGCTTCGTCTCTAGCTCTACACTACGGCCCCGTCGTTGTCACCCCCCTGAGTAGCAGGGCAGCACGGCTCCTCGCCCTTGTTCTCCCTCCTACCCCTTCCAAGCCCTCTATGTAGGCCAAGGTGTTCTCTCCTTTTCACTATAACAAGTACGCGTCCGCTATGTAACGGGCTGGGCCCGGTGCGAGCCTCGGCGACTCTCGGCCAATACCAAGACCCCTGATGAGGCTATTCCCACTCGCCCCACAGCACACCGAACCTTCTTTTTTTGTTGGAAGACCAACAGCCACGATTCCACGGTGATCACACAGATGATGGGAGCTTACAACAGTGGGTTTGAGATACTCGGAGCATCCCCGATATTCTTGACTTAAGGTTGTTTTTCTCTCACGTCTCCAGCGAAGGGGGAATCGCCCTGACCTCGTTGCCCAGCGCCCTGGTTACCCCTCACGTTGCCTGACGCTCAGTTGGGCAGCCATGCATCCAACAGCAGGGCACTTGCAGCTGAGCGTCCGAAGTTCCAGTGCCACGACTTTCCAACAGGTCCCAGGAGTATATTGCAACTAGCTGGTGACGACTCTACGAGTTTGTGTCGAATGGAGAGAAGAGAAGAAGAAAAAGAGTGAAACACTATGCAAGATACCTGCCGTCTTATACCTCCACATCTTTGACCTGTGCGCCGATATCGAACAAGATAGAAGTCCACCGAATCTCGAGTTTTGGCCGAGAGTTTGCCGAGGCCTTTACGGGCAAAGCCCGTTACACAGCCGCCAAAATACCGCATGTGCAGGGCCGTCAAGACGTTAGAGGGCCTTTGGCACGAATGGACCGTCAGCCTTTGGGGAATGCCGGCCATAGCGGCCCTCGACAGGAAATGGGGAAGCCGGTGGCGTGCAGGGCGGCGGAGCGAGCTGCAGTGGTATTCTCTACGGCTGGAGGTCATCAAGGAGATCCAGCGCGTCGCACAAGCGCAGTGGATCGGCGAGCAGGCGGCGATGTATATCGTCAACATGCAACAGAAGCGGACGGGCTGCTCCCTTGACCAGTTCTGCAAGCGTCTACGGGCGAACAGGAAGGAAGGCGAGGCCGGACGGCCGCGCGGCCGGCCAGCCGGCCGTGCAACGGTGCAAGCGTAGTGCAGGAGTATCGTATTGTATACTAGTAGTAATGCAACAGTATTTCCCATTCTGAATAACGTTAACGTTAGCTTTAAATTTCGCGCAAATTCGTGGTAACTGTCGATATAATGTAAGTGGTGGAGAGGGGTGACTCTCCCCAGCCGCTGACCGCACGGTCCTAAAAGCGGTGCATGGTGGCGGTAAGTGGCTGAATCATCCACTAAAACCACCTGGAGGATATACTGTTGGAGAGAATGCTTAGCGAGAACGGGAAGAGAAGGGTGACGAGGCGGAGTGGGGAGACGGGGTGACGGGACGGGGTTGACGAGATAGGGTTACGAGGCAGGACTGAGCGACGAGACGGGGCAACGAGGTGGGTGGATGGATGGATATTTATTCCGCCCGGAGGCGCTAAGCCTAAAGGGCCATGATGCTAGTTACATAATCCCTCCCTGTGATTCTGCCTTGATCTCGTACAAGCTTTTAAAGTTGTCATTCCTGAAGCAATAATCCTCAAACCAAATGTGACTTCATCGTCGAGAGCTCGTGGTTAGTTGACAAATTGCAGGCGCGCTTGAAGGCTATGTTCTCCAAGTGTTTAGCGTCCTATCTTCAGCAGCTAAAGCGGGTCCTGCGGTTAGTGCCACGAGGGTGCTTG